AGTACCTGCAATATTTGTTACTTAAATGAATATAATTGCAATTAACAAAAACTTTTCTATGATATTAAAGCTGATAATTGATTGTAATATTTAGATATGCATTTTTACAAACTACCTGAACTATATAATATTTTATGGAGTCAAGAATTTACAAAATTACATCCAAATAACATCACTTTAGGTAGTCTGATACAATATGCTCTTGAAAAATTAGATGAATCTTGTCAGCATCTTGACTTACATAAACAAAATAAACAATATAGACAATCTTTATGTTGTGAAAAATCAGATTTAGTTGTTCAGCAATGGGGTTGCTCCTCTTCTCATAACAGTTGTAATTGCACTACAAAAAATAAGAAGAAAAAATTCTTTAAAAAATATAGAAAAGACATTTTAATCATAATAAAAGAACTTTTATAAAAAAGGATAAGAAGACCAACAATAATACAAATACTAAAAAGGTCAGAATTAGTAAATGCGGGATTTGTGAACATGAGCGATACTATGCGAACAAATGTCCCCAAAAGACTGAAGTAAGTCATGTAAAATTTGTGGCAATAATAAATGAAAATGAGTTAAAACCAATTTTTAATTTTTATGACATAGATAGTGAAGAAGATCTTTTTGAACTATCAAAAACTAAAGAAAACCTAATAAATATAAGTTGTTCCACTAATGAAACATAAGATTATTTATATTATGGTTAATGGAGAATAACCTTGAAACAAATATAATTAATGACAGCTTTATTGAACTTGAAAGGCATATTACATTATCCGAAGAAGCTTAGAATAAGATACGAAAAAGAAAATTATCTTTAAGAACTAAAGACTATTTTGATATTCCAATTTTTTTCTAGAAAAAAAGTATACATTCCCATATTTCTTAGGAAGAACAACCCATTGATATACTAAATGCCTAAGGAAGTACACGAATACCTCTTTATAATCAACAGATAAAGCGAAAGGATTTAGAAAGGATTAAGAATCCCAAAAAATATAAGCATATATTTTTTGGAGGAATTCATATTTTAATTAAGGAATACTTTTGTAAAGATTTTATGATGATTAATTATACATTCTAAAAAAGATGTATTATTAGGTGTTATACAAGGAAGTCTGTTATTAACATTTAATGTTTAATTTACATTCAAACTATGTTGTAAATATTAATGATCAACACTTCAACTGATCTCTTACATTACAACATAAGCTAGATAGAGAAAAATTACGAGAAGGAAGTGCATTTTACAACATTACTTATCAAACTGCTCATGCATATAGTAATCAACATAATATAGTAGCATTTAAACCGCATACGGATTAAATTCATTTAGATCCTCTCTTCTCTCATATTGGTCACACAATTCAACCTGAAGAAATTAGCGAATTAGAAATTACTCCTCCTTCATCTAATATTCTTCTTGATTTCATAGAAAATAGAAATTATGGAAGCCAAATAAATCTAAGACTTACCTTTACTGAAAATTCTAATTCTCTGGCTATACAAACTAGGCATTCTCTTGACATTAATCAATCTATCTTTCTAACTAGATCATCCACTAGCCGGAAAGAGTACAATAATAATCAATTATTAGTTTCTTGATATCATATCACCGCATAAAAATAATATATGATCTTATTAGATACATGATCACATAGTTCACATATAGAACAAAATTTAGTACCAACAAACTTACAGCTATTAAAAGAAATTTCATATATATATATATCACACATATCTTGGACAAATGTTTTTCTATACACATGAAGCTAATTCACTCTTTTGCTTCATGTTTACAATCCTAGCATTTACACAATAATCAAAATGATTCATGTCAGGATTTTTTGACAAATTTTATGCTGGTTGTCGACTATCAAACACAACTCTTCACTTTTCACATGTGTGGCTTGGGACCCGACAATGGCAGTGTTTAATATTATATTTATTTTTTTTACAATTAAATTTAAAATTAAATTAAATTAAATGTCATATGCTAACATATATTTTTCAAATGATTTAATTTTCTAATTCTAATATTATCTGATTTTTTTTTTTTATTTCTTGGATTTAATGAATATAAAAATAGATTCGAAGGCAAAAAACTAAATATTCAAAAATTTAAAACAAAAATTAATTCATTATTTTAAAACAAAAGTGAATCGGTCAAATGAGCTCAATTTGATTTGATTTTTCAATCTTGATCAAATAATGCAGACCCCTGACATAAAAGCAAAGCATAAGTGAAATAAATTTAATCAAAATAATAAAGCTTTTAGATATTTATAAAAAAATACAATTTTAATTTCCATCATAAGATAATGAATAGTAATTATCTTATAATTTTTAAGATAAAAATTCTTAAGATTTCAGGTAAATATTTTGCACTAATGATATAAAGTTATTTCAAAAGGGCATGAATTAGGATTAGGGTCATTGGTGCTTGTTTGATGTTGGATTTTGTCTTTGCATTGACAGATAAAGTCCTAACTATCATTAATATTTTGCTAGAATTGCCATTCTTTTTAGGCAATTATATTTTTTAAAAAAAATAATTATAAAAATACTGTGAATAAAAATAATTTATTAAAATTTTTGTGAATATTATAAATATTTATTTTATAAAAAAAAAATTGATCAGTATTTACCTTACAGCTATCTTACATTTAATTATAATAATTAGAAATTATAAAAATAGTAAACAAATAAAAGTATAAAAATAAAAGGGCATTTATACACATACCATACAATTTCTATTTATTTTCATACTTAACCTTTCATATTTATATTTATACCGCACAAATTTCTTACTACATATAGAAAAATAAATTATCATTAATTTCTTAAAAACAAAGTATACCTTTTTTATGCATAGAATTTTAAGATCAAAATGTTAGAATTGTAAATATCAAAATCTGCGTGTTGCATAGGTTGAATTGATGCGTGCTAGAAAATTCGCGACTGTAGAGTAACGGACTATTGTGTTAGCGTCGTGCGAATTTAGACCGAAATTTTCTCATTTGGCAGCAAAAGATTCATCCAGGCTGGGTAATATCGTTGCTTTCCCCAATAGAAAGAGTCACATCAAACTACAAAAAAGACATCTTTGTGGAATAAACATAATTATCATAAATTAAATAATGCATTTGTTAACCACAATCGGGACTTTTTCTAAGATTTACATACATACCACTTAATTTTTATGTATTACACATCGAACTCATAAATTTAATTTTTTTCATGTCATCATATGTTTGTATGGAAAAAGTGTGTTTCAGATTTTGAAAATTAAAATAGTAACAACATTTTGATGAGAAAATTTTGCGTGGTGCAAATGTAAAAAACATAAAGTTTAAGTGTTAGATATGTAAATGCATGGTAATTGGGTGGTATTTATGCAATTGCCTTTTTTTCCTTAAATATGTTGGTGAGTTTCAATAAAGGCAGATAATAAGAGCGTGCATTTTCTGTCCGGGCACCTGACGTACCTCTATGTGCAGTGCAGGTTATTTCTGGGTTATTTGCAATAATCCCAAAATAACACAGAAATAACCCAAAAATAAAGACTGTGGGGTATTTCTGGGTTATTTCGGGATTATTGAAAATTACACAGAAATAACCTGAAATAACTCGAGAATACCCTGCGCCTCACGTAGAGCTACGTCAGGAGTCCAACTATTAATTGCTCTTTTGTGCTTTACAACTGTTATTAGCTAATAAAATTTATAGATTTACCCTTAGAGCTTTGGATTTGGTGATTTTTCTCTTGGATTTGGTGATTGAATTGAATGTGTCCTAGTAAGAATAGAGAAAAATAAAAAATGAAGAGGTGGATGATAGGTGATTTTAGAGGTAATATATCTTCTATGTGAAATAGTTTTTGATGCAATGTTTTACAACATCTCACATGGTAAAAAATCTCACATTTATTTGTTAAAAACATTGATTGATTTTTGCATTTAGATGTATTTATAATAGTATTGGTAGCTTACAAAAGATTTTGGACATATAAGAAGAAAGATACATCAAAAACTATAGAAAAATAAGAACAATAGACATTCATTCTTGCTCTCTTTATCTAATGATATGTTACTTAATTGTGTAAATCATTATTATACTTTCATGTGGTACTAATTGAACAACTATAAAATAGTTATTGTTCATGTTAGGGTGTTATCCATCCATTTTTGAGCTTCTCTCTTTTCTTCAATTTTTTTTTTAATTATTATTCTATCTTTCATTATCTTTATCTATTTTATGATCTGGAGGGAGACGATGATGAAAGAATATGATTTCTTATGAGCCGATCAGAAAATGATTAGTTCAATATATTCGCTGCGTTCTTCTTCCGAAGGAAAAAATCTTTATCTATTTTATTAATTTATTTGGGTACTTTAGAATTTTTCCTTTTCTTTCATAATTAATCTTTGAATGACAAAGATAAAAGACTTAATGTTATAATTAAGCTAATAAGAAACATTTTATTGGCATGACCCAAAAATAAAAATGCATTTATATATCTAATACCTAAAGTTTGATATGAAGAAATATATATATATACTTCATTTTAAAAAAAAATAATAATGATGATATTTTTTATGTTATGTGATAGATTTTAATGACATGTATGTAAATATAGAAGTTTAGATGTTAGATATTTAAATATATAAAAATTGCATGTAGGTAAATGCCCCTAAAATTTTATTTCAGCATGGATACAAATAAAATCACTCTAATATCTAATTTCAATAGCTCAATTCCGGCCTAACACTACAATACATGGAGAAATTAAAGAGCCTTACGACGATAATAAAATATTTGACTTAGGTGGTAAAATAATTGAAAAATAAAAGAAAAGAAAAATCCAATATAGCAAAATAAAAGGACAACAACAAAAAGAAGCAGCAGCCTTAACTAAAATGCTACAGCACCAAATAAGCTGCCCCAAACAGGCCCTAAGTTCTCTTCTTGAAGATATACAATGCAAACTTTAACTTCAAGAAAAAATGCAACAGCCCTTCATTTACATATAAATTTATGATAAAAAAACTGTATCAAAAAATTATAAAGTTTAAAACTTATGATACAATATGTCAAAGTTCTACATAATTTGTGACAATTTCAGCCAAATAATTAAGCTACAGAACAGTAGTTGCAGTTGTGAGGGGTTCAATGAGCTCAAGAAATTTATTGGCAAGGCCAGTGAAAACAATTGAATCTGTCTCAATGGGCTTGAATTTGATTAGAATAGAGGGAACCAGGTCTTCTTCTTCTAGGGTTGGTGTACTTCCGTCCGGTCCTGGCGACCGAGGGATCAGATGAACCCTGGACATTGCCGGGCTTAGAAGCTCAAATTCCAAGCTGGGATCTTTCAGAGCGGATCTCACAAACTAGAAGAAGAGAAGGGAAAGAAATATTTAAATGAGGGGGAATAAGTTGTCAAGGGATGCCAATTAGAAATATTTTGATATTGAACATTTTATCAATTATTTAATTTGGAAATTTGGTATATGATAAGTTCATAATAATAATAATAATTTATTTTTTGGTTCTTTCGAGTGGTTTGTATTATTATTCAGTCATGCACAGCTTTATATTTTAAATTTCATTAGCGAAGAACTACAGATAATTTTCCCATCAACTTATTATTACAAAAATATTGCATTTTAAGTTTCATAATTTTTTTCTAAATATTGGATGAGATTTCAAATTGATAATGCACCTTATTCAATTTGTTAGTTAAAATCTATTTAAATCTCAATTATTCAAGGATAAAAATGACAAATATAAGATATATAATGATAAAAACACATATTTTACTAGAAAGACACGTGTTTGCTCGCTCGCAAATTTGGCGATCCCACACCGATGCAACATTAGGATTATTATCTACTCCTAAGTTCGACTTCTCAAACTCTTTCTCACAAGAATATGAGAGCTCATTAATCAACTTTCCATTCTTGAGTGCATTTGGTGATAATGACAATGAGTTTTATAAACTCCCAGAGCTTTCTCCCTAAAAAACAAAACTTTCTACAAAACTCTAGAAACTTACTACACTTAGCTTTTCTAGAGCATTTGAAAAAACCCCTCTATACAAATGAGAACAATATATGCAATTATATGACACTTTCCACAATTTTGGAGTTCTCCATAGCCTTTTAAGAGCACTCTCCAAGATACCAAATACGAATGAATCTAATGGTCGTAGAGAATACACAAAATTGTCATGAGTTCAACATTCATGGTATTAGTTCACACATATCTCGGCAGAGCTCTCGTCACATCCTTAGCATGAAATGCTTTGATTTTTTTTTTTTTTTATAAAATCGCCGATGAACTTCTTGAACTCAACTAGTTTTACAATCAGGAACCCCTTCCATCAATTAAATAGTTAAGCTTAGAGTTCAATACTCCCTTATAACTGAGTTGTGTATGCCAAAGCTCTCCTTGGTTTCAATCATCCTAGTCCACATGGAAGGGCTTAAGGATGCTAAGGTGGAATAGTAGATGAAGCATGAGCTCCATCCCTTATAAATAATTGCAAATGAACTCAATATCAACAAGATTACGGCTAGTCAATATGCTTGTAACAATCTTTGGCAAATTTGCATGCCATTGGGCTACTCCCCTTACAATTAATTGCAAATGCACTCGATATCAACAATCATTATCTTGTCACAATCTTAACTTAGCTATGGTTGGTTCACTTTGTTGTGTTGCGAGTTTTAGGAGAATTAGGCCACATATGTTACATATAGCAACCCCTTATGCATCACATAGAGTCAAAGGCACAACTCTACAATACCATTCAAGCTCTTCATCTAATCATTGATATCAAGAATTATACTTACAAAAAAGTTGAGTTCCAATCCTAACAACTTAAGAAATCATGTTCATAATATAGGATCATGATCGTTCATGGTATTCCCAATACTTAACATCATGGTTCAAGAATAGTCTTGCAGCCTCCACGGCCAACTATCCTTTGTTGTTGTAATAAACATCACAAACTTGGAGAGCCATTTAGCAACAACCATAATAAATCAAACATTCCTTGAACTTTAACATATTCATGATGAAGTCCAAGTTAGATTTTCCTATGGATGCTCCTAAATAGATAAAGGCTCCAACAAACCTACTAACAACCGTGTTTCCAGCTTGGGTTGGCACACAAGGCAAGTTTCGACATAGGATTCAGCATCACTTCACAAGGGTTGCCAATAATAATAGACCTTTATGATTGTTATGGCGTGAAGAATTTGAGGGTGAATTGCCCAATTTGAGTCATGGAACTCATGCAAAATCTAATTCCACAACTTTCTATGTGGTGGACAAGGGATCACTATAAGGCTGTCAAAAAAGCTTATAGTTCGCAAAAGGCTCGTGTTCAGCGCGTTAAGTGGCACGCGCTTGAATCTTCCATTAAGTAAACGAGTCAAACACACATAAATTTTTTAATCTTGAATTATAAACGAGTTGAATATGAACAACCCTTTGTTTGATCGTGTTCGTCTCGTTTTAGCTAAAAATAAAGAAATTATATATATTATTTATATAATAATATTATATATATATTAATATATACGTTTGTGATGTTAACAGCTCGAGTGTTCGTGAAGTTTTGCACCTTCTATTACACAGAATTGTTGCAGGTTCGAATCCAACATCATACATCTATTTTTCCTAATTAATTTAAACAAACCAATTTCGGGTCAAATACAAACAAGGATATGTAAATCGAGCTGGCCACAAACAGAAAATTCACAAACCAATTTCAAACGATCTGAACAAGAGTCAAACATGAGCTATAAAGCTCAGCTAGTTTACAACCCTAGTGATGACCCTTAATAAAGGAACCACTTATAGCAAAATCACCTAATTTTGCCTTCTCACGTATTTAATCTGATCAACAAATTAACACTCCAGTTGGATAATGGCGGCGAACTCCAACTTCAATGAGTAATTAAGTTCTTATATCTTCTCAAACTTTCACTTCAGCTCATAGTTATATTCAACACAATAGTCCTAAAAGAAAGCCTCCATAAGGACACCATTAACATGCCATAGGGTTCAACCTTCATCGTTGCGATATAGATTCACTACGAATAAAACTTGTCTCTCTTGCTCTTCTACATCAGAGCCTTGTTTAGAGCATCAAGGTTTGCCTGGGTAAGGCAATCAAACACCCTATGAACGTTATCGCATAGGAGGTATTTTAGGTGTCAGCAATCTCCCGTCATACCCACCACTTAAATATGTCCTCCCATTACTGCAAAAGGTAGATGAATTTTCACCATTTTTGTGATTGGATAAAACGCTCTCCCAGATCATCCATTGCCTAGAACTCTAGGAAAATAGGCCATTTGTTGTGGAAAAATTAATTGTAAATGGCTCGTAATATGCCTTAAATCATTCTTTCCGACAAACAATACACATTGGTAAACAATTCGTCGAAAATGATTTTTGGACAAAGAATTATTTTTAAAAAATCTCAACCAGATGTCCATGAGACATTTTTAACAAATTTTTCATCAAAAATTACTAGCGGTTTGTCTATAAAAAATCTGCTTACTAGAAATCCACAGTTAACCTTCCAACAATTCATTTGTCCTCTCATCCACTTACATCACTTCTATCTCATGTGCTCTCCTCGTATCAACGTGCATTTGTGCGCTATATAGAACAGGAGTACAGGGTAACCTGTATATGACTAACTTATAAATGTTACAGGAATCAATGAACATATCAAGGACAGTATAGATATCACATGATCCATGGTCAGTTTCTTTGTGATTGCACATGGTTATCTTCAAAGCTCCCCCCAAAATCAAGCATCCAAAAGTATAATAGGATAGTTGTTAAGTCATGTGAAGGGTCAAACATCATCTGAATCTCATATGCTAAAAGAGAATCTCAGTTAGCCCAAGATTACTCATTTTTTATGCTACTAAGACATTAAGTCTTTTAAAACATGCCATAAGATCAACTGAGATATTTGATTAAAATGATTAAATAACCATCTCAAAAAAATCAATAAACCTGCTTCTATAGATGGAAGAGGCTAATGAAGAAGTCTTGAGAAGAATTCTAAAGGATAGATCTCAAAGCTCGGTTTTCCAATGCACGATAATTGGTTAAGACCAGTGCTTAAACCGATATTAATATCCGCTATCAGCACCAAAGATGAAGTTCAATATTGCTACCAATGTTGACACCCGCCATTAACAAAAAAGACGGACACTGATGGCCCCATGGTCACCAAATTTGTCACCCTCAATAACCAATAAGATAGACACCCTTTGTCAACACTAATAGCATCATCCATCGCTAATAAGATCGAAGCCTATTGTTTCCAACAAAGCTAATGTCTTCCATCACTAAAAAGAACACTGGACAATCAACATGAACTCAATGCCAACAGTCGCTAATAGGTGGATGGCTAATATCAACAACAATATCATCTGTCGCCAAAAAGATAGATGTCAGTGATCGGCACGAATGTCGATACATATCATCATTTAAAAGGCCAGCACACATCATCGACAACAACAGCACTACCCATCATTCCCAATAAAACCAATGCTTTTTGCGGACACCCAATGTTACTATCAAAGTTGTTGTTCACTATAATAAACAACCCCAACACTCATCATCACCAACAAGAATAGCACTAACACCTATTATCCCAATGTTATCAACAATGTTGAAGCCCACATTCACCAACAGAGCCAACAACAACCATTGAAACCAACGTCAGATGATTGTCGTCACCACCAAGGTCAACGCCTCTCTTTCTAGTCACTAATCTTCCTACTCTATAAAGAGAATAATGGAGCAAATATAAATTATCTCACATGACAATTGTGAGGCATCAAGGCTCCTACTTCTACAATAAAAATTACCTTCCACAAATCATATATGTAAAATTATATTAAAGCCTTCTCTAGTTATGGGGAAGTGCATCCATTGTATCATGTGATTCACATTAGTGGATTAACTTTGATTGGGTTAAGTTCCATGATTGATCCCCTTCACAATATTTTCATTCAAAAATCTCTTCTATAAAAAATTCTTGCGTTATTTGTTCAAATGCAAGATTTATTGAATGCTAAGACAATAAACTCTTCACTAAAATGAATATCCCAGCACCTAACAATCATGATTATCATTCTCAAGTTCATGGTAATGAAATCAGCACAACGAAAATGATTAATGCATTATGTTGGTAAACTTTTTATTAGTTTAACAAAATTTAAAAAGACAGACAACTTCAAAGGTCGAGATTTCTTGAATTCTCAATTTTAGATTAGTGTTACAAAATCAATCATTTATTCACTCAACACCAAGCAATGTTACAGTTGGGTTTCAGCGCCTTCTTTCCAATTCATCAACATTTCGGCTGGTGCTTCCCAGCATTACAATGTCAAATCTAAATTGAAAATATAAGAAGAAAGTGCAAAGGGTTTAGCCTTTTCCTTTTTTAACTGATCACCGGCTAGGAATCATGCCAATCTTCATAAGCTCTTCAGCGAGAGAGGAACACGGGCACGCAAAATAACAATTCCATTGTTTGAAAGTGGAGTAAAGGACCATAAAAATATGGACAGGCTTGCATAGGATTCAAAATTTTTCATACATGGTAATTGTTACGCAGCTCTCTAAAGAAAAAAAAAATTTCCCTCAATTTTTTTTTTCTATTGATTTATGTATTGAGAAAGTTTCAGATTATCAAGGTTTCAACATCTCTTTTAAACTTTCTCTTCAAGCCTTGACACAAAGATAAGATAGCTACAAAATTTGCATATAGTCTTAGGTTTTTCCTTCTCAATCTTCTTTTGAATCCTCTCTAATTTACATGTCCTCTTCCTATATTTTATGCATTTTATAGATCATTTCATATGTTCCTAAATCCAATAATCTTTAGCCTACCCAAACTATGTCTTCCCGAGGCGATATATCAAGGTCAATCATATAGAAAAACTTATTCAGCAACCCCCTTGCTCTCCTATCTTCTAATGTTTTTTTCTGTATTCATCAATTTAGCTACAATATTATTGTTTGCCAAAAAAAAAAAATGTTACAAACAACTTAGGATAAGGTATTGTACAAAACCAAGGTCTTGTGAAGAACTTTAAAATGCAAAACTTCAAGATTTAATTTTTTTTCAAAGTTCTTTAAACCCAACCACGTTATAGATGCAATATCATTCCCCAAAGATTTCAACTTAGTTTTTTATCATTAATACATGAAGAGAGGAATAACACAAATTAAATGAAATAGTTTCGAATAAACTGACCTCATATAGGACATTAGTTCGTTCCCAAGGTAAAAATAAACCTTGAAGCACCACTCCATCAGGGAATTGGATCCGAATGACAGTCAACTTATACTTCTTCCTAGCAGCCATGGCTTGTTTCTCCTTATATGATCTGGGAATCAATAACTGAGAGTCTGCAATTTTTTTTTTCCTCGCTTCAGATTCTCTTTTTAACTCTTCAATAGATAGATTATAGAAAGAATCAGGCAAATCAATTTTAGCTGCCACACTTTCTGGGACAGCAAAGAAGACTCGAATCTAAAAATAAGCCAAAGTGCACAATTATTAGGCCAATTTTCAATGGTTAATTGGAAGTTTCAGTCATATGCAGCAAGAAGAAATTATCCAAAAATTAGAAATCATCATCATATTTCAATTCATTAAAATTATCCTCATCTCGAGCAAGTTGGGGTGGCTTATAAATAATCATATTTCATTTATTTTTGTTGGAAAGTTGCATAAAGTGTTCAATTCATTTAACTAGTATTGTGATGAGTTCTACAACTATCAGTCAACTTATCAAAGATGTGATGATGATGATTATTACTACTACCAAAACTAATAACATAAAAAACTAGTAATTATTTAAAAAAAAAATTAGTAACGACAAATGTCAAATGCGTGTGATAGTACATGCCAATGAATTAAAGTATGATGGTTATACAAAAAAGAGGAACACAACAATCAACAGAAGCAAAACCCAAGATAACTCAAGTGGTCACAAATAGTCTCTTACGCAATGACACCCACAAGCAAGCGAACTAGAAATCCAAACCAATGGTGGGGATGACAAGCTCCCATAATGCACAAATATTTCAAAGAGAAAAGAAAAAAAAAAACATAGTTGTTGCAAAATATCGCAACATTAAGGATTTTCAATCATACTAAAATGATAAAAGAAGATGAGCCACAAAAATAATTCAACCACTTGCTTTATTTAATTGCAAAATGTATGCTAAAGCTAGAAGTCAAATGATAATGAGCTTATTGTCACAAAGTGTGGCAGCTAAAATTGATTTGTTTGATTCTTTCAATAATCTATCTACTAAAGAGATAAAAGGAGAATATGAGGCAATGATGAAAAAAAGGGGAAAAAAAAAATTTACAGACTCTCAGTTATTTATTCCAGATCATATAGAAGCAACAAACAATGGTTGTTAGGAAGAAGTATATGTTGACTGTCATTCGTATCCAATTACATGAAGGAGTGGTGTTTCAGGGTTTCTTTTTACCTTGGGAACGATATGAGGTTAGTTTATTCGACGGTCTCTTTCATTTAATTTGTGTTATTCCTCTCTTCATGCATTAACGATAAAAAATTAAGTAGAAATCTTTGGGGAATGATATTGCATCTATGAGAAGGTTGGGTTTAAAGAACCTTGAAAAAACAATAAATATTGAAGTTTTGCATATAAATTTCTTCAGTAGACCTTGGCTCTGAGCAATGCCTTAGTACAAATCCTAAGGTGTTTGTTAGTTTCTTTTTTGGGTAAACTATAATAGTGTAGCTAAATTGAAGATCACAAAAGAAAACATTAGAAGAAAGAAAAGTTAGGGGGTTGCGTAACAAGTTTTTTGTATGATTGAGTTCGACATATTGCCTGGAGAACATAGAATTTGGATAGGCTACAACTTATTAGACATAGAAACATATAGAATGATCTATATAACACAAAATGTAGGAAGAGGACATGTAAATTAGAGATGATTCAAAAGAAGATGGAGAAGGAAAAAACAAAAACTATAAGCAAATTTTGTAGCTATGCCTTTTGTGGCTAAATATACTCAAAGAAGTCATCTACTTTTATGTTGGATTTGAAAACTATATCTTTCATTTTAAATATCTTCCTTCAAGTATATAGATACCTGATAATGCGAACATCTCTATTGTCACAAATAACTCAGCAATCTCGGCACTTCTTTAGTACTACCTTATCTTCGGGTCAAGTCCTAAAGATAAAGTTTGAAAGAGATGTTGAAACCTTGATAATCTGAATCTTTCTCAATACATAGATCAATAGAAAAAAAAAATTGAGGGGAAAAGAGGATCAATAGAAAAAAAAAATTTTTGAGGGAATCTTTTTTTTTTTTTTGTTGAGAGCTAGGTCAAAATTACCATCTACGAAAAATTTTGAATCCTATGCAGACATGTCCATGTTTTATTGGTCCTTTCTCCATTATCAAACGGAATTGTTATTTTGCATGCCTGTATTCCTCTCTTGCTAAAGAGCTTATGGAGATTGGCATGATTCTTGAATTGGATGAACTTCAACTATACATAATTCTTGAATTTGGAATATATACAACGAGCTTTAGTATATGGCATTAGTTTTTCTATTGGGACATGAATCACATGTGTAATAGTCCAATTAGAATGATTATAATAATCCTCAACATCCAAAATTGTGTAAAGCCTCATGTAGGATCTTTTGTGACTTTTACCTTAGTTCATCCCTAATTTCTTGATTAAATCCTTTAGTACTACAAATAAGAATAATAAATTAATCTAAGGACAAATAAAGTTCAACCACGTGATATGAAAACCTTGCATAATACATTAATACTTAATCATATTCACCTTCCTTATAATCCTTCAACTGATCAAGTTGTTGATTCCTATAATAAGATTTTGTAAGGTGAAATTGGGAATAGAGTTATTTTGCCATATCAAGAAGAGGTTAGTCTTATAAGAGGTTAAGACAAGCCTCAAACTAAAGCACTGAAATAATATTATTATTAAAACAATTTATAAATATGACAAACCAACAACAAATAGTTAAAAAAAATTTAAAAACAAAAGGAAAAGAAAAATCAACTAAAAAGATAATAAAAATAGTTTAAAAATATATATGTTTTAAAGAAGTCTATAAAAAATTAAATTAAGAAAAATTTAAAAAAATGTTAAAAAATATTAAAAAGTGTTAGAAAAAAAATAAAAGAATAAAAGAAAATAAAAAATATATTAAAATAAAATAAAAGATAAATTAATTTGAAATAATAATATTAAAAAAATGGAAAAGAAAACTAAAATCATACATTCTCTACCTCCAAACCAGTATAAATGTTGAACTTAAAAACTTGAATTCTCTTCTATATATATATATAGCATAAAAGTGCATTTTCTTCTGAAAGTAAATGTTAATTGAAGTATTTGCCTCACAAACCTCGAGGCTACCATTTAAGGTAAATGTTAATTTGAGGTGTTCACCTTATGTGCTTTGAGGCAAGAGGTGCATGTCTCAAATAAAAGAGTGCATGCATCATTTACGTTAGAAAATTGCAAGCCTCAATATACTTACTAGCTGTCTCATGGTGATATGTACCTTTGTTAAGAAGACCATAGAATCACAAAATGATAAAGGTCACTTCTTAAGCTAATGTTTCAAAGTAGCTCCTGATAAGTTAGCATAAACACTTCACTGAACTGATTATGTCCTACCAGTTTTGAAATGAGACATTTCAAATTAGACAGATTATACTTTAAAAAAAAAACTATCAAATTATCAATCCAACTTGAAATATTTCCAAAGATCAAACCCCCCATTGAATGTAGAAATATAATAATTTAGGACTATAATTTCATAATCTCATGATAATCAAATTGTTGCTTTATAGGATTATAACTTACACAATCATTTTTAAATTGCATCATTGGTTAATTGTTAGGTGCATTTACATACATACCACTAAATGCTTATGTATGTACATATCTAGCATCCAAACTTTCTTATTTACGTACATAACACTCAAATATCTAATACCAGATCAAATATATCGCTATTACTAACCTTTTAAAAGAGAACTACACATTTTTATGCTTAGGTTGGACATCGAAGTATTATAAATGTAAATATTAAAATTCAAGGGTTATATATGTAAATACATAAGAATTGTGGGTACGTATGTAAATTTCTCTAACTTTTATTGACCCAATCAATATGCCCTACATTTACTTACATGATGATGCAACTCTTGGCTCTGATATCATTTTGATCCATAATAGATCAAAGTCAAAGCATCCTAACGCAACTAACATGGTGTGTGCAATATGAATACATGCAAATGAAATAAAAGTTTCACAGATCACAAACCAATATAAATAGTTCAATCAGTTGCTCTCTTTACTTGTAAACAAGTAATAGTAGAATTAAAACTGAGATGATGATGAAAGAATAAAAAATAATACAAGTAATTCAATCGAATTTATAACTACAAAAAATCATCGCCAAAGTTGAACAAAAACACAAGATTTGATAAGTTAATATTAAATTATAAAGATGAAATAAAAAAAGGAATGGAAATACCTAAAAAAACAGGGCATGTACATAAATACCACACACTTCTAGTTCATTTACAATAAGAACACCTAAACTTTCATATTTACATCAAAATTTAAAATTGAACAATTGATTATCGAGGCATTTTTTATTTGTGAGGCACGGCATAAACCTTTTTTAGGCATTTTGAGTTGTAAGCCTCAAAATCAACAAAAAGCATAAACAAAAAAAAATATTGTTCTAAATTTGATGCAGGCGCTGCTGAATCAACGCCAGTGTGCAAGCGCCGATTGCGCCCTGACACGGGGTGCTTCACTCCGGGGCCAGAAATCATGTTACTTCGCGAGAACTCCAGCAGGGGCCAGAAGCCCCGCAAGGCGTAGCGAGAAGAAGGGGCGGGACGGATCAAGATGCCACGTGCGCAGAATGGAGGTGGATCGCAAACAATCTCGATCCAGGGGGTCTGCTTCGCCCGTTTTTTTTTGGAAAAGGATTTTTTATGGATTCTTCTTGCCTTCCTATACTCTTCCTTCGTATAGAAGCTTCCTCTGTCCGTGGGGAGCCAATAAATTGTTGTCCCTTGTGTGTGAAGATCAATTCTAGTATAATTGTCTTCTAATCTCCTGTGTAGAGTCTCTTCCCACATGTTAGGGCTGCATCTGACGACAGATGGAGCTTCGGTTCTATCATGCTCCGAGATGATGTTGTAAACTTTCAATCTCCTTCGCTTCTTCTCACCAACCCCTTTTCCCACCTCTCCTCTAGTTGCCTGCCACTCCCATATGTCTCCACCCCTCTACCTACAACCTTGCTGCCCTATATACCAACAACCAACCAAAAACCATCAAAGTTACTCAAACAACCCCCCGACATCTTCCATCTTGCCCTACCACCTCATCGACGCCACCACTGCCTCTGGACATCTACCTTCCTAACTGTGGGATTCACCTATTATTGTATTTCCTTTCTATTTGAGTCATG